AGAGACTAGTGTCGGGTTCGGACGACTTTACGCTATTCTTATGGTATCCCGAAAGGGATAAGAAATGTGTGGCCAGAATGACAGGCCATCAACAGCTTATAAATGATGTCAAATTTTCGCCCGACGCCCGACTCATAGCCAGCGCTTCCTTTGATAAGTCTATTAAGTTATGGGACGGAAGGACTGGAAAGTGAGTGAATAGTGGAAAGTGAATAACTGTTATTGAATTTAATAATTGTGTGATATTTGTTAGGTTTGTGACATCACTTCGCGGACACGTGAAGGCTGTCTACCAGATCTCGTGGTCAGCGGATAATCGACTATTAGTGAGTGGAAGCGCTGATTCAACACTCAAAGTGTGGGATATTATAAATAAGAAATTAATGATTGATTTGCCCGGACATGAAGACGAGGTAATAATAGTTAACAATTTAAACCATAACTAAAACAATGATTTTTTAATAGGTTTATGCTTTGGATTGGAGTCCAGATGGAGAGAAGGTTGGAAGCGGTGGAAAGGATAAAGTTCTTAAATTGTAAGTTTTATTATCACTTTAAATTCAATTTTAACAATCATTTTATTTTTATAGATGGAAGCGATGATAGCGTTATTTAAGTGTTTATAATTTCAATAAATTTTTAACCAAATATAATGAGTCATATATTTTTAATCATTCAATTTAATACATTTATTTCGTGGTCTTGTCGTCGGTAACAGTTTTAGTGACCAATGATTTGCCCTCTTTCTCGGCCTTTTGCCTACAATTGCCTTCAATAGTCCTATTGATACTTTTGGTCACTTCTTTCTGAAGCAATTGAGTGGCCGTCAACTTCTTGGGCTTTTTGGGCGCTATTGTGTCCACCAATCCATTCATATAGGAATTCAAACCATTAAATCAATGAAAACCAGACAATTATAACACAAACCTTTGCTAATCCTATTGACGCCTCTGTGGACAGAGTGTTGTTTGGCATTTGGGGGCAGTTTTGCCTTCACTTTGAGCTTTCCCTGAGCCATACTATGCCTACAAGTGTTCAAAACAAACAGATAAACACTTAAATTCACTTTAAATCCAATTAAATCTCACGTTTTATTAGTCTATAAAATGTGTGACTTTTAACTAACACATCTGTCTGTGAATCACGTGTTTTTATTTTCCTATTCATATATCATATGTAATGTTCTCTTCGCCCCCTTTTGGGGGGATTCACAGGGCATGGCATAAGTTGTGCTAACATTAAAATGAGTTCAACAAATTCCCCCTAATTTATTGGCACGTTATATATGAATAGAACACGTCATGAATGCAATCAAAACGTAAACATAACTCAAAATCAATGCAAATATTGAATGAGTTTTACAATCGATTTATTAATTAAATTCAATGTTTGTGTGAATTGTTTGTCAATCAATCAAAACAGTTATGAAGCAAATGGTTGACCACTTTGTGGACAAAGAGTGCCATCAAAGCGATGACAAAGCGGTGGCCAATGGGTTGACCACCGATGACGGGCTCAGCGCCGAAGAGGAGGACAGCGACGAAGTGTTCTCACAAATCGACGACCAATTGTCGGACGAAGAAGTGCTTCATATGACGGATGTATTGAATTGTCTGCAGCGGTCGGACACGAGAGGTTTGCGCCGATTGGCGACCGTTGGTCAGGGATTCATTACCGATAATCTGCGGCGACAGATATGGCCCAAAGTGGCCAAAGTGTCGGTCGTGGAGACGAGTCCGCGACCCGATCTCAAGACCATCGAAAGCCACGAGTTCTACAATCAGGTGGTGTTGGATGTGAACCGATCGTTGAAGCGGTTCCCGCCGTCAATAGACACCGACCATCGGATCTCAATGCAGGACTCGTTGGTTCGGCTGATAATGCGAGTACTGATCAAAAACCCGGAATTGCATTACTTTCAGGGATATCATGACATTTGTGTCACTTTTCTCATGG